GTTTGGGGTGCAGGTTTAGGGTGAAGGTTTAGAGGTGCAGGTTTGGGATGCAGGTTTGGGATGAAGGTTTAGAGGTGCAGGTTTGGAGTGCAGGTTTGGGGTGAAGGTTTAGAGGTGCAGGTTTGGGATGCAGGTTTGGGGTGAAGGTTTAGAGGTGCAGGTTTAGGGTGCAGGTTTAGGGTGAAGGTTTAGAGGTGCAGGTTTGGGATGCAGGTTTGGGGTGAAGGTTTAGAGGTGCAGGTTTGGGATGCAGGTTTGGGATGAAGGTTTAGAGGTGCAGGTTTGGAGTGCAGGTTTGGGGTGAAGGTTTAGAGGTGCAGGTTTGGGATGCAGGTTTGGGGTGAAGGTTTGGGATGAAGGTTTTGAGGTGCAGGTTTGAGGTGCAGAATGAGAGACGCGGGTTCTGGAGGTGCAGGTTTGCACGGTGCGGGTTTAGATGCTCAGATCGAGCGGTGCAGGCTAGTGGTGCAGGCCGGGGGGGCACCCAGCCGTTACCCCGCAAAGATCCCCCAGCCCATGGGCAGGGCTCAGCTCCCTCAGCCACTCCCTCCTCCACCCGCGGGGCTCACACAGCTCGGGGTTCCCAGCGTTCTCGAGGGGCACACGGCGGACCCCGGCCCCGCGCTCGCGGCCGTTCCCCCCTCGGTACCCCCGACCGCGGCGCGGCCTGCGCGCGAGGCCCGGCCCCGGCGCCGCCCGCGGGCCCCGCTGCCGAGGCGGCCCGGCGTCCCCCCGTCCCCGCCGCCGTCCCCGGCCCTCACCATCTCAGCGCTGCCCGCGGCCCGGCCCCGTCCCTGCCGCCTCCATGCCGCCGGGCGGGCGGGCGGCCATCGGGCCTTGACGTCAGGGCCCCGCGCCTCCGTCGCCCGGCAACGCCGCCCGGGCGGTGACGTCACCGCAGGGACCCCGGCCCCGAGCCCCCGACCCGTCCCGGCCGCGTCTCGAGCGGGGCGGGCGGATGGCGGCGGGCGGCGGACCCCCGCGGCCCCACATCGGGTCCCCATGGGCTCTGCTCAGTGTCCCCGAATGTCCTTAGCGCGGACTCTCCGCGCGGTGCTCGCGGCCCCGTGCCGGGTCCCCACACGACGGCTCCGCGCCGGGTCCTTGCAGTCCTCACTCAGTGTCCCCCGCACGCGGTCCCCAGGAGCCCGCTTTCGGTCCCCGTGGCCTCACGTTGGGTCCCTGCGCTTCTCATTGTCCCTGTGGTCCCTCACAGCCCCTCATGGCCCCCATGACCCCGTGTTGAGTCCCGCATGCCCTCCCATTGGGTCCCTGGAGTCTCCCCTCATTGTCCCCAGCATAGGGTCCCTGCAGTCCTATCATGGCCCCTATGGCCCCGTGTTGTGCCTGCATGGCCTTCACTCATTGCCTCCAGCACAGTGTCCCCATGACCCCATGCTGGGTCCCCATGGTCCCCCGTGGCCTCATATCAGGTCCCTGCACTCAGTGTTGCCAGCATAGGGTCCCTCTGGTGTCTCACAGTCCCTCATGGTCTCTATGATCCCATGTGGTGTCCCCATGGCCTCACATTGGATGCCCTGTGGCTCTATACTGGGGCCTCATGGTCTCTGCTCAGTATCCCCAAATGTCCTTAGCATAGAGTCTCCATGGTCCCCCATGGTACTCATGGCCACATGCGGGTCCCCATGGTTCCCACAGCCTCACACTAGGTCCCTGCAGTCCTCACTCAGTGTTCTCAGCACAGGGTCCCCCTGGCCCCCCATGGTCCCATGTTGGGTCCCCATGCACCTGACTCAGTATCTCCAGTGTCCCCAGCACAGCGTCACATGGATGTGGCACTGGGTGCCCACCTTGGGTGCCACATTACTGTCACAAGGACCCCAAGAGGACCTCTATAAAGAGCCCTTCCTTGCGGTGTGGCACATTGTTCCCAATGTCTGCAGCACAGTGCCCTGATGATCCCAATGCAGAACATCCAGGTAGGGTCCCCCCATGCCCTCAGCAGTGTCCCCACGGTCCCAGCACAGAGTCCCCACATTGCGGGAACGACATCCCCATAATTCCAGCACAGTGCTCTCATGTCCTCGCCTCTCTCTCCCATTTTTGGGATGACATGGGGACACCTCACCCCATGCTACCCAGAGCCACTGACAAGACGGCTTCTGACAAGTTTGGGCACCCAGGCCTGCTCTGTAACTCAAGACACCTATTTTTGTCCCCAGATGTCTATTTCTGTCCCCAGACCACAGGGTTGGCAGCAGGGGGATGGCACGTCTTCCCCTGCACCTCCATCTTCCGTGGGATGTCATCGCATTGGGGGGTCTATGCGTGACGAAGCCACGTGGGTGCATTGACCTTTTCTCCCTAGGACACCTGTTTTGTCCCCCAAACTTGGGGGCAACCCCAATGACATATGGGGTGGCTCAGGGGCCAGCAGAAGCCGCTTCACGGCGCCCTTCGGCCGTCCGGCATCCCTGCAGGTACCGTGGGCAAGGGGCGCGGGTGGGAGAGCCGAAGGGAGCTAAGACTATAAGAGCAGCGCGGTCCCTTTAGGAGCAGCGCGGTCCCTTTAAGAGCAGCGCGGTCCCTTTAAGGCCGCGGCCACTCTTCCCCCGCGTGCGCTCAGGCTGTGCCACCCTCTGATTGGCTGCGCTGCGCGTGAGAGTCACATCGCTTCCTCCGCAGCTTGCGCGTCCGCTAGAAAAAAGAGTCTCGGCCGTTCGCCTCGTTGCGCAGTGGGCGGAGGGATCCGCGGGGCGGCGCTTCGGCCGGGATCACCTTGGCGGCGCGGCGGGGAGGCGTGCAGAGCGGCGGCGGCGCTTAGGCAGGACGGTCTCGGAGGCGGAAGCAGCACTAGGAGGTAACGGCGGCCTCCGGCTCCGCACAGGGAGGGCGTTGAAGGAGGGCGGCAAGTGGGCAGCCGAGGCCGCCGTCATCGTCGCCGGACCCGACGTTCAGGCGGGAGTGTTACGTTCACGGCAGGGCGCCGAGGGGGCGCTGAGGGGAGGGGGAGCTCCACGCGGTTGGGGTCGCGGCGGCGCTGGCGGAGGGTTGGTTGGGTGGGTGCCCGCAGCGCTCCGCCCGCCCGGGCTGAGTCAGCCGTCGGCGCCGCGGCCACGTGCTGGGGCCCCTCTCGGATCTTCCCGAGGCTCCCTGCTCTCCCAGCTCTGGGATTCCGTTCATCCCCGCGTGGCCGCCTGCCCCTCCCCCCCGCCCTGCCGCGGGCTTTGAAGCGCTCGGGGTGCGTGAATGGGGCTTTTGTTAGCGGACGGCGGCCGCCCGTCGAAGCGGAGAGGCGGCATGCAGAGCCCGCTACGTGCCACTCCGAGTCGGCACTGCGCTCCTTGGGGAGCGGGTGGTGCGCAGGGCCGGGTTCGGGCACCCTGCCGCCCCGGGGACGGCTCCAGAGCACGTGCTGGCACCGGTGTGTGTCTGGGGGGGGAGGGGAGGATGGTAGCCGGAGAACCACACCCCAACGCAGGGCCGAAAATGCCGCCGCCAGCACGCGGCTGCGCGCCCGCCCCGCACCCGGAGCAACGCTCGGACAGACGGTTGCGAGTCGTTGAGGAGCGGCCGCGCACCTCGCCGTGCCCCGGGGCCGAGCGCCGCGGCCACGTGCCGCCCTGTGCGGCCAGGAGGGGGAGGGGGCGGCGCCGCGCTGTGCGGGTCCGCACGTACGGCATGGGCTGCTGCGGCGCGCCCTGCGGGGCTTCCTGCATTAAGGCTCCGAAGCGCGGCGCTCTGACCGCTGCCGCTGTGCGGCGAAGCTGCCCGTCCTGTGCCGGCGCAGCCCGCTGCGCGGTGAGGATGGAAGGTGCGCACGCTCTGACTGTGTTCTCTTGATAAGTTTGCCGCCTGTGCTTCGTTTCTTTAGTTGAAGCCTGCTCCGTGCCCTTGTCCTCTAGGAAGGGCGGACGCGGCGTTACAACACGCAGTGAACGTGCCCGACGCTCATCCCCCGCCTGCTGGCTCGACGGCCCATCCCGGCCGGCCCCACGAGGGGTGCCTTTGGGAGGCCATCTTGCAGTTGCATAAGGCTGCGGCGCAACCTCCCGCAGTCGGAGTCATCCTCCCCTCCCAGAGAGGGGGGCCGCAATGTTGGCAGCCTGCTGTGCGCCCGGCTCCGTGGCTGTGGGTGGGGATGGCGGTGGGGCTGTGCCTCCTTCCTGCCCCGGGGCGCAGCTGGGATGCCGCAGCCAGAGGTTCGGTGCTGCAGCTCGCACTGAGTCACCCTGCTGCCCAGCCCGGCCCGCTGCCTTCCAACGGTTTTGCCTTTCTGGAATGTTCAGCGGTCGAGGAGGCACCGGCCATCTTGAGTGTGCCTTGCCTGAAATGGGGTGATACCTCGGGGGATTTGAGAGCTACGCCGAGTTACGCCCCGAGAAAGTAAAGCAGCTTTGTGTGGGGAATCAGGCTTTGCAAGGTATTACTCCCCCACCCCCTTCCTAGCTCAGCTCAGAGTGCCTTCAGGTGTTCCTGAGGAGCTGATTTAAAAAACAAAAAGTGGGAAATGCCAGACATTCCTCTTAGGGTTATAAAACCGCTCGCCCTTTGGGCATTGCTCCTTGCAAATGGGATGCAGGAGGAAGAACAAGAATGTGGAGCTCCCTGCAGCCCAGCAGATGGTGGCTGGGATTTTATTTTGCTGCTGTGTTTCCTCTGTTCCCCCCTGAGCAAGGTCACAGCACAGCCCTGTCGCTATGTCTCTTATCTCCTTGAGTCTGTTGGAGAATCTCTGGGGATTCTGACTCAAAGCAATTTAACTCTCCTCCCTTTTTATAAAATCATAAAGCCTTCAGGGCTTGGAAATCACACTCACAAATGACTTGAGTGGGTGGGGAGTTTTCACGAGGAGGAAGCTGTCTCCAAAGCAGGGAGGCTGAGCTCCTGCCCAACGTGCTCGTCTCTCCCCAACCCTGTTCCCCACAGCCACGCGGTCCCTTTCGCTGCTCTTTGCAGAGGCAGTTTCCCGGCAGAGGCTTTTTGTGCTATCCAGCAGGTGCTCCAGGATGCACCAGCAGATGTTAGAGGGCTGAAACACCCATGTTCAGGTCTGAGCAGCGGGCATCCCCATAATAAGGTGCCTTTGTTGAGGCTTTTATGTGGGCAGGCTTTCTTGTACTGACTTGAGTGAATCAGCAGCTTCTGGCAGGGCTGAGGTGAAGGACGCCTGCCAGGACAAATTATGGTTTTTGCTGGCCCGTCTTTGCGCTCCATTTCGCGCGGCGATGAGGCGATGGTGAGTCAGGGCTGCCTGCGAGAGGATCAGCACGTAGGTGGGGGGAGCGGCTGGCGGGGGACCTCTGTGCTGATGCTGCTCCCTTCTGCTCGGCCCAGCTTTAGTGGAGCTGCTGGTTTATTAATGCCCTTGGCAGCTGGAGGTGCACGGTGAGCTCTGTTTTTGTGGCAGATGGAGCGCATCTCTGCACGGCTCAGTGTGCTGATGGTGTACTGAGGGTCAGCAGTCCATCCGTCCCCCCCACCTTGGGGAGCAGCACACCAAGAAGCTGAGCCTTGCCCAGGCACATGGTCCCATCTCACCTGGGTGTAAGTGCAGAAGGAAGGCGTGCAGGAAGGAGAGGATAAGTGGCTTCTAGCTGCATTGCTGCTTGAGGACAGAATTCCCAGTGGGGGTCCTCCCATTGCAGCACACAACTGTGGGTTTCACTTCAGCTTTCTTGTGTGCTCAGAACCTTCCCTGCTGTTCTGGGGATGCTTTCATCTCGTGGAGACAAGCACGGAGTTTCCTACTCCCAGAAACAGCCGGTCTCAAGCCCTGTCGGAGTCTTCCTGCCTCCTGCAAATGCATGGACTGCAGTAGTGGTGTATTCATTTGGAAGAGGGCCCTTGAGGACATTCAAGGATTCTTTAGTCTTATTTGCATCGTCTGCCCCGGCGTTGTGCTCAATCAACTCAAGTCTGATTATCTGCGGGCTTAAAGGCCGGGTTAAGCCTAGGTGCACTTGGTGTGCTGAGGTGTGTCCCCGCGTGCAGCACGCCTGCAGTCACGCCAGCAGCCGGCCGCCCGGTCCCCAGGCTGCTGGCAGAGATGGGCTGAGAGCGGGCAGGCAGCGGGCAGCGCGCTGCCTGTGCACTGAAGCGCTTGAATTTTGTTGCGTTGTGTAGCTGCAGGGGAAGACTGGCAATGAAGAGAAGCTATGAAGGGAACTTCTGCATAGAAGGCAGGTGAGCTTTGGGTGGTGTCCATGGGGAATGACATTTAAATAGAAGTGTGTCTTGCCTGTATCTAAGACTCTCAAGTAGGAACATGACGATAGTCTGACCCAGTAGCAGCTTTCTCGTTACCTCCATATTCATCACGTGGGTGTGTTGGTGTCTCTGCATGGTGAGTGAGCAGGGGTGATCCCTAAATCCGGCACCATTTTCTTCTCTTGCAGACACCGAACTCCAGTAACCATGTCGAAGCACCACGATGCAGGGACCGCTTTCATCCAGACCCAGCAGCTGCACGCTGCCATGGCAGACACCTTTCTGGAGCACATGTGCCGCCTGGACATTGACTCTGAGCTGACCACTGCCAGAAACACCGGCATCATCTGCACCATCGGTACGTGGCTCCCACATCCCAGGGAACGTGGCTCACGTTAGGCTGTGAATGCCTGTGCTGGTGAAACTCATTGTGGGAATGTGGGATGGCTTCAGCCTTCATCTGTTGCCAAGGCTGTGCCTGTCTGTTGAAACAACACAACTTTCCCATGCCTGTCTGCCTGCTTTTATTGCTAGTAGTAAATCCAGTGATGTCTGAACCGGTTGGGTTCAAATGTGCTCCCAAAGTCAAGTTAAGACAAAGGAGCTGCTTTTGTGTTGAGCAAGTCTGTATCCACTGTGTCTCAGTTAGCCCCTCCACATGAAACAGCCTGATGCTTGTGGGTTATCTCATTATTTATAGCAGGTTAATATTCAAACTGTTTCCTCCTCTTAGGCCCAGCCTCCCGCACTGTGGACAAGCTGAAGGAAATGATTAAATCTGGAATGAATGTTGCCCGCCTCAACTTCTCGCATGGCACCCATGAGGTAAGGATGGGGGTGGGACTGACGCTGTCCTGAACTTGTGACTGCTCATCCCTTCCTTCCCTTCTGCAAGACGAGACCAAGGGAAATCCAACTTGCTCCAGAGCAGCTGTGGTAGTGTAGGAAGACAAAACTTCATGTTTGGGGGAAGTGTGCCAGCTGTAAATGCCAAGCCTGCAACATTCCTGATAATGTTTCAATGCTTTCTGGAAGCAGCTTGAGTTATTTCCACACCCTTTTCTGCACCTACCTCTATCTGGGAGCCAGGTAGCTGATATCTGAGTTCCTTTGCTTCTTCCCCACCCTCATGGGGAAATGAACTCGCATCTGCTTTAGGGCTAGGCTGCTTCTGGGTTGCCTGCGTACCTCTGCAGGAGTACGCAGCCATTCACAGTACACAGTCATTCACCCTGCTTCACCGTTGAAGGTTTTGCAAGCGGTCAGTGAATAACTTTGTCTCAAAAGATAAGTCAGCTGAAGTAATTACTGTGTGTGTCTGGAGGAATTGCGCTTCTGGACTTGCCTGGATAGCCAGCTGCTCAGGTTATGTCCTCAGTAGTCATGAAGCTAGCAGCTTGTCACTTGTGGGGGCAGTAATCCTCTGGGAGTAAGGTCAGAAGAAATGAACACTGCTTGTGGTGGACGAGCCCTTTTTGATATAAATAGAAGAGATCCTCTGCAACGCTGCTGGAGCAAAGGATCCCATTCCAGGTTGCCCGGAATGCCACCCTTAGCGTTGAGACTGAGTTCTTACGCTGGCTGCCCTCCTGCTTTCAAAATGTCAAACTGTAACCAAATGACAGCTATCAGTGGCTTTACTTAGTGAGCTGTGAGCCCTGAGGTGTGTAACGGCTCGACCTCTCACCCTCATGGCCTTTAAAGGCCACAGGGCACTGTAGAAATCAAAAGGTCTGGTGTTTAGCTGCGCACAACCGTTGGACCATGACTGCATTAGCCTGTGGTAGCAGCAGTGCGCAGGCTGCAGCTGACCAAAATTCAAACGTAGAAAGGGCTGTATGGACTGGTTTCACTCCTCAGTGGTCGCGTGCTGCTCCCAGCCAGGAGGTTCAGCAAGGAGTTGGTGGCCAAGCTTGAACCTTCTTAGCTGTCTTAGCACAGTGCTGTGGTTGGTGTGCTTGCTTGCTGAGGTGAAGGACAGGGAATGTGGCTTGGCTTTGGGTGAAGTGCAGCCCAATTGCATATTTGGTTTAGATGGAGGTTAGGTGATTGCAGCAAAACCAACTGCTGTCTGCTGCCCAGTTTGACTGCTAGCTGAGTAACCAGGCAAGACTGAGTTCCCATCTGGTTCCTCAAGCACTCTGTTGTCCACTACAGTTGCTTGAGGTTTTCACGTGCTGTCCATATTTCAGTTCCAATGTTCATCCTAAAACACATAACAGGGCTCAAGTTAGTAGCTGCAACCAGATGCTAGACCTTGAAGCTCTTTCATGGAGGAAGTCTGCTTTTACTTCAGCCCCTGCCAGCATTCCGATCACGTGTAATTCTTGTGGAAGACTTCCTGGGAGCTGGTCATTGATCTGTACCAAGTAATAAAACATCCCAGGTGACTGATAAGCCCCACGGCTCTGCTCAGGCATGTTTCCGGTGCTGCCTGTTACAGCTGGGGTATGTGGAAGGACCAGGTGCTTTCTCAGTCTCCGCTTGTGCACTTGATCAGTAAACTTAATTTTTTCTGCTCTTGAGAGCTAGCTGTGGTGTATTTCTGGCTGAGGGCATGCATGGCTTGCTGCAGATGCACCTTCCTGATCCCAGGGCAGGTGATGTGAGGACAGCTAGGTGATCCAGGCTGCATGCTGTCAGCCCATGCCACAGGGAGGGGAAAGGGCATTTCTTACCTTCCGGAGCCTGCCAAGTATTGCATAACTGTCAAGCTTATCTCTAGTGTTGTTTAAACTAGATAGCAACCTGACTTGATGATCATCTGAAGCTTGTTTGAGATGATTGGGATGGGAATTTCCCTGTGAAACTGTCCCAAAATTGGCAGTACTAACAAAATGCTCTTGCACCCATGGAAGGGTTTTGGAGCGTGGTGTGCGGAGTCAGAGCCTTGAACGTCTGGCTGCAGTTGCGTTAGCTCTCAAAATAAAATGCAAATACGTAAAGGGATAATATCCTCTGAGTAAATCCCTTATCCCTAGCGGAAATCTGAGTCAGAGTTGTGAAAGTGTCCACCCATGTGCTTGACAGCAACGTCCTTGCTTTGGTTGTGTTGGTGGGACTGATAGTGGGGGATGAGGTTGAAAGGCTCTGGGGCAGTGTGGCACCTCCACTTTCAAGCTCTGAAGGGAAGAGGACAGCAGCTATGTGCAACCATCCCTTAGCTTTGATGCTTTCTTGCTGTTCTGTCCTTTCACACATGCAGTCCTCCAGCTGCTGCTATTTGATCATACTTGAGTAGTGTTTGGGCTATGTAGCACAAGCAGTGGAGTAGAAGTGAGCTGAAAGTTTCCCTCTCTTTTCCAGTATCATGAGGGCACAATTAAGAACGTGCGAGAGGCTACAGAGAGCTTTGCCTCTGACCCAATCACATACAGACCTGTGGCTATTGCACTGGACACCAAGGGACCTGAAATCCGAACTGGACTCATCAAGGGAGTAAGTTGCTCCTTTTTTTTTTTTTTTTTTATGCCCACCTTTTCCAGTGCCTGAGATTAGATAATGTTCCCATGGCCTGCTTTTCCCAAACAAGGATTATCTTATGAGAACAAAATAACTGTATGTGTTGTCTGGCATTTGTACCAAGAGTCTGCACGAACTGCTGCAAGGCAGCTGGGTGCTTGTTTTTTCATGTTTTTTTTTTTTCTGAAACACTTGTTTTGACACGCAGAGTGGCACAGCAGAGGTGGAGCTCAAGAAGGGCGCAGCTCTCAAAGTGACCCTGGACAATGCCTTCATGGAGAACTGTGATGAGCACGTCCTGTGGTTGGACTACAAGAACCTCATCAAAGTTGTAGATGTGGGCAGCAAAATCTATGTGGATGATGGTCTCATTTCCCTGCTGGTTAAGGAGAAAGGTGTGTAGCAACCCTCACAGCATTTGCTAGCTCTCCTTGTTCATTCTTCCCTAAGAATCTTTGTGACTTCCTTCCCTCCAGAATGGTTCTTTAAGTTCTGAGTTAAAGAAATGAGCACTGAGATCTAAGACTTAATGCTGCAGTGAGATGTTATAGTTAAAAAAAAAAAAAAAAAGTTGCTCAGCTGGGGTAATTAGCTTGAGCTGGCATTCAGTAGTCATCCAGAACCCCCTCTCACAGATGAATACGTGGGGGGCATGCGTATGCCTATTAAACTACATTAATTCATACTTCCTACTCAGAGTTGAGCAAATTTTGTAACAAGATCCTGTGTTTTATGGTTAGAAACTGAACTAGCTTTACTGGTAGTGCAAGGGAAAGTGAATTTCCCAGTGTTTCCTTCATGGTGGTTCAAAAATCTGCTCTAGCCTGGAGGTATCTCCTGTAACTCCAGAGCATGCAGGGAGGTGTGGGTGAGGTGCTTGGATATTATGGGATGCCCACATGCAGAAATGTAGCCTGCTAGTTCTTTGAGGGAAGCAGCCCCAATCTCCTGCATGGTGGGGAAAAGAGGCATCTTTCCCTAAAGCACACAGTGGTTTTGTGCTGTGCTCTCACAGGTACGTTACAAGCTCACGTGTTACGGGAGTCTCAAGGAGAGCAGTGCTGTGCTTCTGCTGTGATTGCTGTAAACATTGTGGTTCTCAGGCAGCTTTGGCAGGAGGGGATGTGGGAGCTGGTGGTGGGGAACTCACCCTGCTATGCTCTGACTGTGGGAATGCATCTGTTTCAGGCAAGGACTTTGTCATGACTGAGGTTGAAAATGGTGGCATGCTTGGTAGCAAGAAGGGAGTGAACCTCCCTGGTGCTGCGGTTGACCTGCCTGCGGTCTCAGAGAAGGACATTCAGGACCTGAAATTTGGTGTGGAGCAGAACGTGGACATGGTGTTTGCTTCCTTCATCCGCAAAGCTGCTGATGTCCACGCTGTCAGGAAGGTGCTAGGGGAAAAGGGAAAGCACATCAAGATCATCAGCAAGATTGAGAATCACGAGGGTGTGCGCAGGTGAGCTTTGCATGAGTGGCACTGCAAGTCCTTCACTCTGGAGCAGCAGGAGGACACGACCCTTTCATGCTGTAGCTCCTCAGAAATGTACATCACTCTTTGTAGTGAGTGTGATTTCAGACTTCAGTGCTCAGGATGCAAACTGGTGAGCTAATGCATGGAATCACCAAATATGTGACAAACTATTAGACTGAAATGTCTCAGATAAGCTCTTGCTCTTCTTAATCTGTTTATATATAACTTAAGAAATTGTCCTATGGCTTGACCTTATGTTCCTTCCTCCTGCTGTGGTATTACAGGGTACCAAAATGGCACCTGGAAGGTCAGCATGTCGATAGGCTGTCTGTGCATCAGGCTCTGAGTGATGCTTCCTTTCAGAAAAGGGAGGACAGCAGGGAGGACACCCTCAAAACAAAGGGGATAATGAATCTCTCCTCTTGCTGCAGGTTTGATGAGATCATGGAGGCCAGCGATGGTATTATGGTGGCCCGTGGTGACCTGGGTATTGAGATCCCTGCTGAAAAAGTCTTCCTTGCACAGAAGATGATGATTGGGCGCTGCAACAGGGCTGGCAAACCCATCATCTGTGCCACTCAGGTGCTCTGAACACGAAGCTAGCTTGTATAACTGCTGGGTGTTTGTGGGTCTGGCAGGGTGTCAGCAGCTGTCCTTGCATGCTGCGGAGAGTCTGGGGGCAGATCTTTGATAGCATTTGTTAGCAGGTGAGAAGCAAGAGCCAAGAGGCGTTGCAGTGGCTGAACAACACATCTTCAGGGATTTGGGGTCTTCCCCATTAAGGCTTGGCTGCTGAAGGCTCTACCCCTTAAAACCTTACACTACATGAGCCTTTTGGGATGTGTCCAGAAAATTTTGGGGAAAAATAACCTGCATTTTGCATCTTAGAGCAGCATGTCCCTATCTAACAGAAGGATTGCTCTGAGTTGCTGTGTCCCGGGTCGTTTGAAAGTTGCACTCATTCTGCTGCGTTAGAAGGAACAGAAAAAACAATATGATCTATAATATGATTACCTTGGGAACTGCAAATGAGGGGAGGAAGCTGACACTGCAGCTTCAGTACAGATCACAGGCAGACAGTCCTCAGGCACTGGCAGGGCTGACTAGCAGTACTTGCTCTGGGTACAGGCTGTGGGATTATGTGCCTCTGTTAGGGTAGTGCAGATTGACTCTAGGCAGTCATTAGGTGAGATTCTGCATGTACCAGCCACATGTTTCCAACCAGAACAGCATGTTAGTAGCAACCTCAGAAAGGAGCAGGAGCATATGCTGCAATAAATCTCCAAGTTGAGTTTCTTAGACCAAGCTCTGGTGCTGAGAAGTCGAACTGGAAAGTGAGAATACAATATCTGTGGTGCTGTGTGAGTTAAAGCCCTTCAGAAAAGGAGTAAGTGTAGAGTGGGAAGAAAATGTGTTGTGTGTTTTTGCTTTAATTTAGAGCTTGTTAGGTAGCAGGCCCCTCTACAGGACAATGTCTCTCCCTGCTACCAGAAGTCAGGTTATACCTTGACTTGTACCTTACACGTGTATGGAGGTGCCTTAGTGCAAAACCAGCTGCTTCCTCCTGCTGTATCCTGACTCTTCTGAACTCATTTATCTGCAGATGTTGGAAAGCATGATCAAGAAGCCTCGCCCAACCCGTGCTGAGGGCAGTGATGTTGCCAATGCAGTTCTGGATGGAGCGGACTGCATCATGCTGTCTGGGGAGACCGCCAAGGGAGACTACCCGCTGGAGGCTGTGCGCATGCAGCACGCTGTGAGTAGCCCCCCTGGTGCAAGTGGCAGTGCTCTGCCTTCCCACACCTGGAGATGTGAATGCCTGGTGCTAGGTGGCAGCACCTAGTGGCATAAAGCAGCAGTTCTTTGGTTCGTGCTCCCACCGTGGGGTTTGCTTTACCTAGCGTGGCCCTGAGGGTCTGGAGCCTTGCATTGAATGCTGCACGCTGCTGCCAGGTGGAGCTGAGAGCTGCATTGCAGTGCTCAGAGATCTAAAACTTCAATTGAAACACCTTCATTTTGATTTAAGGCTAAGGTACAGGCTTTTTGGCTGCTACCTTGGTATGAATTTCTTTGAATGCCTTGTGCATTTTAGTGTTTTAATTGCCTTAAACTTGCCCAAGGTCAGGAAGCTGCTTGTTAAGCAGTGTCTCTAGATAACATAGTGTTAGCTGACTCCTCAAGGTTGTGGGGGAAGGGAGGGACTGGGAAGGGTGGGAAGGAGGAGGCTTGAGGTGTTGCATCCAGCAGCTGATGCATTTGGTGGTGGGAATGTTTGTTGCACGACAGCACCATGTTTTTACATGCCTGAACTGCCAGAAGGCTCTGCTCTGCTTCACGTTAACCCAGCTTGTGTTTCAGTTCATCAAAAATCCTGATGCCAGACATCTAGAAGTACTGGCTTTCCCCACTTGCTAGGGCTGTGAATCATGATAGTTTCATCTGTAGTTCAGGTGATACAGATGAAGGCACTGAGCTAGCATTTCTGTTTGCAGTGCATTATCTAAACATCTTTTATCTGGTCAGTATGGAGTGCTGTTTTCTCACATGGCAAATAAAACATGACTTTTAACTACTGGGCAGTGACTGCTGGCTTACGAGCTGAATTCTAACTGAACTCAAATTCCTTCCTTAGTCTTTCAGCCCTACATTGAGGGCTGAATCTTCCTACCAAGATTTGGAAACTTACTGCCATGAATGTTGCAGTTCTGGCCTGAAAGCGTAGTTAGCTACAGCACAAACTGAGTTTGTGGCTCCGTTCCCCCCCCTGCACGTGCTTCCCTCTTCCTGCAGGGCTGAGGATAATGGTGCTCCTTCTGCCAGGCCCACAGAGATTAACTGAAAGTTTATATCTGCTCTATGGAGGAGCAAATCCAGATTTATTGTTAATGTATGTAGACATAGGCAGGAAGGTCATCAGCAGAACTGAGAATGAGCAGGACCTGCACCCTTTGCTTCACTGAAATGCCTTCAGCTGCTCTCTCCCAGAGTTTTGCTGGGTTGCTGTATGGTTTCACAAAGCAATCATTTTCCAGTGAGCTTTGCAGCAATGAGCTGTTTCCTCACTGGCTTCTCTGCAATAAAAAAAGGTGCTTGGAGTTTGGCAGCAAGTTTCCAAATGTTGAGCAGAGTGTTTCCTACTTCTTGAAATGGGCTTCCTTCCACTTCCAACTGATGATCTACAGTTACCAAATGCTGATCTGGCCCTTCTGTCTAACAGGACCACAGTGTGCATAGCTCTTCCACTTCCTTTCCTCTCACTTCCACTCTGCAGTCTCTACCCTCATGCTAACTACAAACACAAACTGTTTCCATGCACGTAAAGCCAGCTGTGATGTGCAGTGAGGAATTGCTGTGCCCTTCTGAAGCCGTTGTCAGAGCAGGCACTTGAGCACTGAGTTGCATTCCGACTCTTGGCAGTGGAGAAGTAGCCTTCCCACCAAATTCAGGTTCACTCTGCGTGTAGTGCAAAGCTACCTGCATCTGGCCTGGGAGCTGAAGGCATGCTGCCTGCCTGCTGGTGCCTGCAGTGTTTCCAGGCAGGGATGTATACTCCATAATCCGTTCGACCTAACAGTGTGAAGCCAGCAGAAACAAAACTGAGTGCTTTAGGACTGGTGTGTTGGCTCTGGACTCGTGTTCCTATCTATCACATGTCCTGTTATATTTAGACATAAGACACTTAACTACTTTGGCTTAAACTGGTATCTGTGGAAGAGGGATAATTCCAGCATCATGAAAAATAATCCATTAGCACCAAAGTAGCAAAATTTTTATTGGAAAGGGGATCCAAGTGCAAAGGTCCTATGACAACGGCACTACAGTCTTTGCTTTAACATCAGCTTGTAGTGCAGTGTGTGGCAGCTGTTCAGCTTTGGGAGTAAGGGGGTGAAGACCTTGAGAAGATCAGCCTTTGCATGCTTTTCTAGTCTCTGCAAGCCTTCTTTATCAGGTTGTTAAGGGCGAGTGCAGCCTTCTGAGATGGGAATTGTCTTTTCATGTGAGCGATTCTCATGCTACTGGGATGAATAAATGATGGAGCTTGTTGCACATGCTTAGGCTGTGACCAGGAGGCCTTTAATTGTGCACCTCTGGCCTGTCTGAGCCTAGCATAAATTCCTCACTGTGTGGTGAGACAGCCCTGTAAAGAAGGCTTGCTTCTGCTTTTTCCTCTGTCTCTGAAAGAGAAGTTGGTACAGCACTTGGAGGTGAAACTTCTTTGGCTCTTAGTTGAACTGGATGAAGCTAGGAGGGCACACATCTCCCTTTCCAGGGAAGAACTACCGGGAAGTGAAATAAGCAGCCACAAGAAAGAGTGGTCTGAGGGGTTATGCTATAATCCCTGAAAAGCAAACTGCGCTTGGTTGCTCTGAGAAGAGTCCTAAATACAGCGAGAGTGCTGCCATTAAGGCACCATGCCAGCCGGGTGGTGTGGGGCAGGCAGTGCAGCTGTGCTGTGACATGCAGCAACACATCTGAGAGCCAAAGAGTGTTCCGCAGCCTGACCTTTAGTGTCCTCTTGCATGCATTACTATGACAATTAAGCAAATTAATGTGATCTCATGTTCCTCTGGTCTATCTTTCCTTCTTTTCTTTCCTCTTTTCTTCTCTGCCCTTCTTCCTCGGGACTGCAGATTGCTCGTGAGGCTGAGGCCGCAATGTTCCATCGTCTTCATTTTGAAGAAATCTTACGCCACAGTGTACATCACAGGGAGCCTGCTGATGCCATGGCAGCAGGCGCGGTGGAGGCCTCTTTTAAATGCTTTGCAGCAGCTCTGATAGTTATGACCGAGTCCGGCAGGTAGGGCTCAGAGAGGGGAGAGGCTTAGGCTGGGTAAGGTAACTGATGCTTGTTCCCAGCATGCGGGTTAGATATGTGCTGCGTGCCGGCCGTTGCGTGAATGAGAGACCACTCTTAACACTGCAGGCGTTCAGCAAGCAGCGTGCAGCTCTGGTGTCCGCAGGGCCGCAGGTAGGTAGGAGCAGAGCAAGAGTGCCTGGCAGTTGGGCATGAATGGCAATTGAGTGTGGGCCCAGCAGGGTGAGATGCCACCAACTGGTGAGAAAAACTCGGAGGATCAAATTGCTCTTCATTAAGGTGGTGCTGAAGCCAATTTTGGCTCATTGGCAACTCTTCTGAAAGGCAGAAGCTGGCAGCAGCTGTGTGACACCTCTGTGACAGAGCGCCTCGCTCTACGCAGTGCTGAGTGACTGACACGAGTGTTGTCTTCCCGAACGCATGTCGCTCTTCTAGATCGCCCGTGAGGCGGAGGCCGCCATCTTTCACAGGCAGCTGTTCGAGGAGCTGCGTCGCCTGACCCCCCTGAACTGCGATCCCACCGAGGCCGCTGCTGTTGGCGCTGTGGAAGCGTCCTTCAAGTGCTGCAGCGGGGCCATTATTGTCCTCACCAAGTCCGGAAGGTAGGAGGTCGCAGGTTCCCTCGGATCACGGCTCCGTGACCGAGTTGGGGGAAGGAGACCCGCACAGAGTGCCTTGAAATAAAGCTGTAGCAGCGGAGCCCAGGTTTGGCAGCGACGATTCCTGGGGAGGTGGCAGACATCTCAAACATCTGCGCACATGCGGCACTGGGTTCCTGAGCCTGCCAGCGTGGCATCAGCACCAGGCCCTGCCTCTTCCTGCTCTGCACAGCACCTCTGCCAGCATTGCTGGCTGGAAGAGCGGAGGGGAAAAGTAAACTGCTGCAGCTTCTACCTTCTTAGCAAGAAGTCCTCAAGTTAGCAGTAGAGTTAAAAGTTGAGCAGATGCAGAGTCTTTTCTTTTCTATCAAGGCTTTGTCCTCTTGAAAGAGCTGTAGTTTGGCTGCTACCTTGCTGAACCTTCTAGGCACCAACCCAGCTCCCCTAAGCACAAGAGGGGTGAAGAAAGAATGCTTAATCAGAATTGTCAGGTGGGGGAAATGAATGCATTGCAAGTTTTTACAAGCTTCCCAAAGCCTGCCTGTGAGTAGTCCTGTGGAAGAAGCAGGCGTCCAGCTGGGTGAGCTCAGCACCGTGGCTGCAGGTGAGGCAGCAACGCAGACTGAAGCTGTGTAGGGAGGGATTTCTGAACCAGCTGTGCTGATGATACACTGCTCTTCCTGTTGGGTGAGAGTGAAGCACAGGGCTGCAGCCTGGCTGTGAGCAGCTTTCCAGCTAGAGGAGCTACGCTCAGAGGGTGGTGGACCATAAGTCTCAAACTACTTTCTAGAAGAGAAGCTGAGTATCTTACATGGAGCTGGCAGCAGAATTAGTGCTGCAACAGAAACATGACTGTGCACGTGCTGGGCATGGCCCACCTCAAGAACCCTTAACCTAAACTTACAGCTTAGAGTGATTTGAAGTAGCCACTTTGTGCAAAGACGAGGAGCGACTACATGAGCACAGTTCTGGATACCCTTCTAAAGTTTCTTTGTGAAAGGTTCCAGTCTTACACTTGACCTTTTTGGAAAGATTTGAACTCTGGTATTTGAATATTTTTAGCTGTGGATTCTGTTACAGCCTCGGAGTACCTGCGTGTGTTAGAGCTGCTGGGCAGTGTGGGGAGGATTGTCTGAGAGCTGGCACGTGTGACTGGGGGCTTTTGAACCAGGTTCTTGCTGAGCTTGGCTCCAGAAAACAAGGTTTGCAAAAGCTAGCAAAGCTGCTAGCAAGTGTGTCAGAAAGATGGAGCTGTAAATGGCATGGCTGTGCAGCTTTTATTTTTTTTGGCTTCTAAAAGCGGAGCCCAAGGGAGGGGAGGCTGTAGTTGCCACCCTGTGCTTGCTGCCTGCTGTATGGAGGCTCTGGTGTCCCTGGTCTCTGCATGTGGGTGTCAGCCTCCATCAGAGCAACCCCGTGCTCCCCACACTCAGACCAGATGAAGGCACTTGCTTCAGTATTGCTTCCAGCAGTGCATCTGCTTTGGGGGGGGGGGGGGGGGGGGCTAGCATGAACACATGGGATTAAATGTTGGTTGCTCCTCTGAGACTTAAACCCATCAGTGAGCTGTGGTCAGACCTAACTTTGGGGGTGGCTGCCTTTCCCTGACATGGATTCTGCCCTCTGAAAGCATCCTCACACTACTGCTGACACTGCTGACACAGGCTTGTTCCACCTCATGAGGTGGGGGTTGACAAGAACAGTGAAAACTTGCAGGGACTCTGCTGAGATGCCGAGGAGAGCTTGCAGAGGACAGAATAGATGGCAGCTAGCCACCTTCACATAGCAACAGAGACAAATAAATGCTTGTGTTTGGGCCGAAGCATGCAGATGGCACTTTGAAACCCAGGGGTGCGGCAGTCTCACCCGCAAAACCCATTAGGGTCTGTTGCCTCATGGTATTGCTCGGCCCCACTGCTAAATTGAGAAATGAGTGTTGAGCTCTGCTGGTAGAACTGGGCTCTTGCAAAATATTGTGCCAGCATCCCCTGGTCTCAACCTGGCACACTTCCAGAAGTGGCAGAGCTCTCCAGGGTGATGGGAGATGGCCTGTGCTGCAGGCAGGGGTGCCCCTCTGCTTGTGCCTGTGCTGCAGTGCTGTGCCTCACCCTGTGCTGCTTTTCCCTCTTGCAGGTCTGCACACCTGGTGTCCCGGTACCGCCCGCGGGCTCCTATCATCGCTGTCACCCGCAATGACCAAACAGCACGCCAGGCACACCTGTACCGTGGCATCTTCCCCGTGCTGTGCAAGCAGCCGGCCCACGATGCCTGGGCGGAGGATGTGGATCTCCGTGTGAACCTGGGCATGAATGTCGGTGAGTGCTGCGCTCCTGCCTTGCTCTGGGGGCTGCGGCAGGACCTGCAGCAGTGTCGGTGCTGCTGTTGGAATGTGGGGGACCACGGTTGTGTAAGTGCACCGCATCTAACGGGGAAATGGGACGGTGGTTTTGTCACGGCAGCTTTGAAATAGCTGCCAGCAGGAAACCAGCTCTGCTTTAGTAAGTGAGAGAAGGGAGGTGTGAGGAGACCTGAGTGCTGATGCTTTTTCCTTTTTCCCCAGGCAAAGCCCGTGGATTCTTCAAGACTGGGGACCTGGTGATCGTGCTGACAGGCTGGCGCCCTGGCTCCGGCTACACCAACACCATGCGGGTGGTGCCCGTGCCATGAGCTGCCGGCACCTCCCCTCTTCCACCCCCGCGCCCTTCCCCATGCATTAGGCCTGCAGTCGCTTGCGATGTTCTCCTCGTCCTTAGCGTGGATTTAGGTTGCTCAACACCACCGAGTGCAGCAGCGGGGGAAGAGACCTTAAATCACTCAGAATACTTGAAGTGTGTAGTGTTTCCAGACCTCTCTGCCTGTAGTTAGCCATGTCACAGTGGGGCTCTGCGCTCCCCGTGTCCCCCTAGCTTAGCACTGTCCTCAGGGTGTGGCTGATGCCTCTCCTTGCCCCGGCTGTGGGGTGATGGGGAAGGAGTAGGCATTCGTGGTAAACGGTTCTGCTGCTGCACACCGCAGCTCCCCCAGGTTGGTGCCCTCTGTCCCCGAGGGGTTATGGGTTGTCCCCTCTGGGCTTACACTCCAAAGGTGTGCTCCGCGGTTCCTACTAGAAACCCAAACCAGAGTGCTGCTCGTTGTGCCCCTGGGTGCAGGTGGAGTCCTGCTGGTTGTTGGGGTGCAGGATGGGTGGGGGACGCACGCTTCATCTCTATGCAGCCACCTGCCCTTATATGGTGTCTGTCTGTGTTGTCGCCTTTCCTGAGAGCGTTCCCTCTGTCTGGGCGCCCTGTTTGCTCCGGTGGGTGTACGGGGTTGTGGAGCACCACTGTGCACGTTAATAAAGAGCTGAGCACCCCTGCCCACTGTTTCTTGTGCTGCTGCTGCGCGACAGCGGGGTCGTGCGTGGGGGTGGAGAGGCGGGGGGCCACCACAGGGGGGCACCCGGAAAGGGGACGCGGGCCCTTTAAGAGGCGGGGCAACTGCGCAAGGGGGCGTGGGGCCGACAGGCCCCCCCTCATGCTACTGGAGGGCGGGCCGCTGATGCGAAGGGATCGAGCTCAGCGGCGCCGCTCAGCCACCAATGGGAGCGCGGGGCGGGGGCGGGGCTAGGCGGCGGGCGACGAATGAACGGTCGGCGTGGAGCCGCGAGGCATGACGGCGCCGGGCAGCGCGGGGCCGCCGGGCAGGTAGGGGCTGCGGGCCGGGACCCGGGTTCGGAACCCGCGGCGGGAGCGGGACGGAGGCGCGGGGCCGGGGCCGCTCCCCGGGAACGGGGGAAGGCGGGCGGCCCTCGACCCGTCCCGGGCGGCGGCGGGCCGCGAGGCGAGCGCGGAAGGTCACGGCGCTGCTTCGTGCGGCCCTGAGGAGATCCCCGAGTCCTCGAGGCGCCGAGCGGCAGCCCCGGCCGAGCGCGGCCCCTTTCTGTCCGCCCGACGCTGCTTTGCGGCGGCGGAGCGACGGGCGGCGCGCGGCCGCGGGACGGGGCTCACGGGCTGTTCCCGCAGCGCCGCGCCGATGCACGAGCGGGCCGCCCCCCCGAGGAGCCCCCAGCCCATGCCGGGCCGCGACAGGCTGCAGGCGGCGTCCAGGGAGCGCAGCGCGGAGGCCCCGGACGTCAGGTGAGTGCCGGCTGCCTTTTCCCGTCCCGTCCCGTCGTGGCGAGCCGGCCCCGCGCTGAGCCGCGCCTTGCTCTGCCCGCAGCCTCGAGGCCCTGAAGGAGGAGGACATCAAGAAATGCCAGACGGAAGCGGTAAGTCGCTGCGCGACTTCGAACCCGGGAGCGCTGGGGGAGCGGAGCTCCGCGCTGGGCTCTGTGGGGGCTGAAAACAGAGCTAAATGTTGGTTGCGAGCGCATCCTGCTGCTCTCCATGGAGCCCGTCTGGTTCTTTGCGTTGTGCCCGCGGTAAAGCTTTTCTCCTCACCTACAACCCGAAGCGATAGGAGAACAGAAAGGAGCTGTGGACAGCTCTCCCCGTTGGGTTTGGTGCTTTAAGAACGGCGCAGGGAGCACCCGTTCTGCACACAGCCGCTGTTCCTGCAGAGTAGCACCCCGGGGCTCAGGGCTGCCCAAACAGACTTGGACCGACCCCGCTGTGTGTGCTTGGAGCACGGATGTGTAGGCACGGTGCCACCGAACCTTCTCCAGCTGGCATCGTGACGCGGGAGATCAGCCCGGTAATCCAAAGCCACGCCAAGCGGGTGGATATCTGGAGCGTGTCCTGCTCCCGCGGCAAGGAGAGGCTTGGGTGCAGCAAAAGCCAGCATTCAGGTGCACTGTGTGCCTGCAGCCAGGGGACAGCGGATTCTCAGGGCTGCCCCACTTTGGCTTGGCTCTATGCTTGGCGGAGAGCAGCTCCCTGTCCCAGAGCAGATGTATATTTAGCAAAATATTTTGCTGATTATTCAGAGGAATCTGGGAGGGCTGTGAGCGCCAGGCAGGCTGCCAGGGAGCTGGGTGCTTCTCCTGTTGTGTTGGGGCAGAGGGCAGCTCGGTGCCCTCGGAGCAGCAGGGTAATGGGGGGTGTCTGGCCTGCCCCTAGGTGGTGCTCAGCCTGATCCTCTTTGAGCCGCACTGATCCGGTGGCAAGGTGCGTGGTGCAGGGGTGACCTTGGTGCAGGGCTGTGCTGCGTTTCTCCCTGCCCGCTGTCTCCCTCGGGTCTTTGCCTGGATTGCAACTGTGCCACGAGCGCTGGCGGAGGGGCAGGGGGCAAAAACCTGCCTGCGCAGCCTGAGTGGATTTAGTGCAAGTCACCGAGCTTCTGCCGTGCTTTTAGCTTAAATAGAGCGTTATTTGAGCACCTTTGCGCACTGCTGCCGAGCTGCCCACCGCTCCTGCTGCCGTGCAGCAAGGAGGGACTGTGACACAGACTGCCATGGCACGGCGCGACGGGCGCAAAGCAAGTGTGGCAATGCCTGCGGGACAGAAGGGAGAAACATCCATCAGCAGCATAACTGCTGCGGTGGAGAGCGAGTGGAGGCTCAGCAGCTCTTTAGATAGCTCGTAGCTACCGGTGGGAATGTCTGTGGGATCGTCATCCCGAGCCGTTCAGAGCTGGCTGCTGGTGTCCTCCCCCCAGTGCTCCTATCTCCTCCTCCTCCTCACTGTTTTGCTCTGCTCTCTTGCAGGCTGCCAGCAAGTACAACTCCCAGTACCACAAGCTGTTCAAGGACATCCCGACGGAGGAGAGCGTGCTGAAAGGTGGGCAGTGCGGTGCGGTGCGGGGCAGGAGGTGCGAGGCCACGGGGCTCTGACACCGCTCTGCTCTGCAGTCTGCTCCTGTGCGCTGCAGAGGGACATCCTCATCCAGGGACGGCTTTACATCTCCCCCAACTGGCTCTGCTTCTATGCCAACCTCTTTGGGAAGGACATTAAGGTAATGTGGTGCCCAGAGCGGCCCTTCCCCCATGTCCAGTGCTCCATCCCAAAGAGCTCACTGCAGCACACCTCACCCTCCCCATGAGCCACTGACATTCCCTTCAGTGCTTTGCACTGAATCTGGCTGTGCTTCTTCCTCTGGTGACCTGCAGGCTCTGCCTGGGAGAGTCAAGTACTGCTTTGGAGCAGGATTCCCCCAGGCAGAACCTGGCTGGAAGGGAGATGAAAAGTTCCAGAGGATTCTGGAGGGGGTGTGAATCTCTTCTGACATTTCTGCTTGATTTACGCTGACGTTCCCCACTAATGTTGTGGCTGACGGGGATCTGGGATGAGGGAAGCGACTTCCTTTCAAGCTGGGCTGCGGAACTGCATTATTTATGTCGGCAGCTTGAAACAAATCTATCTGCGGAGGCACAGCACATCGCTCGCCGGGCTGAGCGCGTTGCAGCTCTGCAGATTGCATCCTGACTGTTCTTAACTGCTGCCCTGCTTGCAGGAGTTCTTGCAGTGAGCTTTTGGGATGCACTGTGTTTGTGTTGGACGGTGGTTTTCCTGTGTTCTCGCAGTTTTGGTCAGGCAGAAACCGACTCCAAGCCGAGATTAACGTTGGGGGGTTGCCATGACCTTTAATGAAAACAAAGCAGTCTCTGGGGAGCGCCAGCTCTCCACGTAACTCGCCGTGTCCCTGCCTTCCCAAAGTGATTGCACGCCCCGTGTGCTTCGCCTGCAGGTCGTGATCCCCGTGGTCTCCGTGCAGCTCATCAAGAAGCACAAGACGGCGCGGCTGCTGCCCAACGGGCTGGCCATCACCACCACCGCCAGCAGGAAGGTACTGCAGTGTCAGGGCCTTCCGTCCTGCTGGGGAACTGAGCACAGCTCTGTGCTGGCAGCCGGCCAGGGCAAACGTGGAGTTCTGCTTTTGTTTCTGTATTTCACTTTGTTTCTGTCCGAAGCAAACACTGAGCGAAACTCGTCCGAGCTCAGCCAATCCCTGCCAGGCTCTGATAAACCTTTAAACTTCTTACAGCCGAGGAGGGGATAAACTCGGGCCACAATTAGGCTGGCACAGAACTTGGTTAATGGGCTGAGTGTGAGCTGTGGCTGAGCTCTTAACATGCGCTGCTTGTTGCCTACTGAAATGTGCTGACGTAGCCCTGCTGGGTGCCCTGCACCCGCTCCTGGCAGCGCTCTGCAGTGGCACCGTGGCACAGGGTGGGCCCCAGGCTGCTCAGCCCAGCTGCCCCTTTGCAGCCCTTCTGCACTGCTGAGGTGATGTGAGCTGCTGTCCCTGGGATCCTTCTGGTCACTCCAGGTGCCGCTCAGAGCCACAGGGAACAAAACTGGCCTTGAAAAAATCTGCCCCAAACTTGAGCAGGCTGCAAAAATAGAGCTGGGGAGCTGAGCAGGGAGGTGGTGCGGGGAGGGCAGGGGGACATGGCTCCCGTGGGGGGCAGATTTGAGGGCAGAATGTCTCAGCCTGCCCTGCGGATGGGGAACCGGCGCTTAAAAACTCCTGGGCATGTCAATCTGTTTTCTGGTCTGTAGGAAGGATTGAGGTCAGGGCGGAGGGGGCCCCTCCCATTGCCTTCTCTCTCTCTTGCAGTACATCTTTGTGTCGCTCATCTCCCGTGACAGTGTGTACGATGTGCTGCGGAGGGTCTGCACACACCTGCAGGTAATGCTGTGCGTGGCTCCCATCCCACTCTGCCTGTTTGCCATCCCAGCATCTCGCTGGCTGTTGCTTTGGGCTGCACTGTTGAGCTTCACAGGGCCAGTCCTGCCCTCAGCATCCCAGCAGGATGTGACCTGTCCCTGTCCCTGGGGTGTCACACAGTGTCCTGTCCCGGTGACCTGTTCTGGGTCACAGATGAGAGGGACAGAGCCCTCGGAGTTCCTGTGCTCGCCCTTGCAGGGTGTGGAGAGGCAGTGTTTCTAATCTGGTGGCTATTCCTGTTCCACCACTATGCGCACTGCTGACTTTTCCCCAGATTTCCTTACTCACATAGTGGGAAAAAATGCCATGAAGTAAAAATTTGAATTAAAAAGCCTGATATGAGGAGGAAACCCGTCGCTCCTCGGGCTGGAGCGGAGAGGTGCTGGGAGCTCTCCTGCCTTTGAAGCACGTGGAAAGCGGTGCTGGAGCTGCTCCCAGTATTCCTGTTTTCCTTCTTCGTGGTTCATCTCCTCTGTGTTGTGTAGGGCTTCTGGGGAAATGGAAAGCAGCCCTGTCAGATCACAGAATCGCTTGAGTCAGAAGGAACCCTTAAAGTCTGTCAGTGCAACCCCCTGCAATGAACAGGGACGCCCACAACTTCATCAGGTGCTCAGAGGCCCCCCCGGCATGACCTGGGTGTCTGCAGGAACGGGGCAGCGCTGTCTCTCTGAGCACCCTATGCCAGGTTGCGAGCATTAAAGCAGCTCCTTTGCATAACAGCACGCTAGTTGAAAACCTCAGAATCTAATTCTGTAACTCCCACTGGAGC